CATCTAAAGTACTCCCTGATTTACAAGAATCACTTAAAACAATCATTCAATCTACCTGCACGACCAGAACACAGCGATATTGATTCAGACGACACTGTAGGCAACTGAAAATTTCATACCACACACACACACACACACACCAATCAACCTTATTGTTATATATACAATATGTTTCAATAAAATATCCATTATACTATTTTCATTTTGAACGGTATCATCCTGTATAATAATAACAGTACATCGTATACAGGTTATGAGACATTCTGACCGACCGACCGACCAGAGGAGCCCACCACGCTATTTAGGTCACGCCTTGCTATATACGATTTAACGATATACCGTCGATCCATCGATCCGCTATTTTTCGATGCACCCCTGTATACACGTTCTGAATGCCCCCCGTAATCCACGCCAACACCAGACAGGTGCGATATCTGGCCATCTATGCGCGAGATGCCCAACCCATCAATGGCAGCTGTCCAATGACACATAGATTCCGTTTGGTTTGTACAGCGCCAAACAAATCGGCGCCATCTATGCGCGAGATGCCCAACCCATCAATGACAGGTGTCCAATGACACATAGATTCCGTTAGGTTTGTACACCGCCAAACAATCGGCGCCATCTATGCGCGAGATGCTCAACCCATCAATGACAGGTTGTCCAATGACGTATGAAAGAATGACGTGTACGCCATCTATGCGTGAGATGCCAATGACGCATGACAGGTGTCCAATGACACCAGATTCCGTTTGGTTTGACAGCGCCATCTAGCGGCGGAATCCCCAACTCATGAATTTCGATTACAGATTCCGTCCAACAACCTATCAATGGCGCGCGACGCCAGCGCCTCTGGTGGCGGATTTTGGAACTACTGAGATCTAATCCCCATAGACCATCTACTCTGGTATAATGATTATGTTTAATTTTTTGGGTCGGTGCTTACAAATTTATGGTAGTGAATGATACTGTGTAAGAAATAAAGCTGTCTTATATCATACATTTCGAACATCTGCGTATAATTTTTCAGTGGGACAAAGTTTCGGTTTTTTTAAATATCATTTTAGAATACTTTTTTGAAAACATCTAAATTATAGATATGTGAGGAACATGCAGCTCCCCATGCTAATATACCATATGTGAGATGAGGCTCAATCAGTGCATGGTATAATGTTCGAAGATATTTTTCTGTCAATATATTCCCAAGGTATTTAATTTTGTAGGATACAAATCTAACTTTCTTTAAAATATAATTGACATGGATGTCCCATCGTAAGTGAGGATCCAAGACCACTCCAAGGTATTTTATGTTGGGCACTCTATTAATTGCATTTTTTTGATCATTAATATTGAAGGAGAAATTTGTGTAATTTGGCAGATGTCTAGCATAAGATCCAAATGGTAAAAAAATGTGTTTTAGAGTAGTTAATGCTTAATTTTCTACTGTTAAACACACCGAATAATTTTGATAAAATCATTTTCAATTACATTTTTCAGATCAGACCAGTCAGTGCCTTCATATAATATTGCAGTATCATCTGCAAAACTAGTTATTTTGCCAACACAATTAATTTGGAAAATATCATTTAAATATATATATTGAATAACAGCGGACTTAAGACAGTTCCCTGTGGGACACCACACTTAATATACATTTCTTTACTAAATGATCCTGATATCTGCACAGATTGTGGGCGATTTGACAAATAACTTCCGATCAGTGAGTACGCGTTTCCTCTGAAACCAATTCTCTCCAATGCTTCTAATAATAATTTGTGATTAACTGTATCGAAAGCTTTCTTTAAATCAACAAAAATGCAGATTGAAGGGATTCTGTTATCAATATTTTGATGTATTTGATTTACAATTTTAGTTATTGCGTCCGATGTAGCCTTCCCTTCTGTAAATCCATATTGATTTTCACTTAAAATTTTGAATTTTGTGAGGTATCGAATCATTCTAGTAGATAAAACTTTTTCAAAAACCTTTGCTACACTGGATATTATTGATATTGGTCTATAGTTGTGAACATCTGTTTTTGTTCCTGATTTATGTATCGGTATTATATTACCTTTTTTTAAAATTGAGGGATATATGCCAGATTCAAAGCATTTGTTGATTAGGTAAGTGAGTGGTTCTGTTATGTCCTCGGCTATAATTTTCAAATGCTCGCTTTTAATACCATCGAACCCAGGACTTTTCCGATTTTTTAAGGACATAACAGTGGTGTATACTTCACATTGCTCGACTTTATCCAAAATAAATGAGTTCAAAGTTCTTTTTGGAGGCTGAGTATTTTGTACATTTGTTTGTATATTACTTGCTAAATTTTCGCCTATGTCAGTAAAGAATTGTACAAATTCATCGCATATCTGTTGAGTATTTTTTAATACTGTTCCCGATGTTGTATTTAACTCAGTGACACACTCTTTAACTTTTGTTTTCCCAGTAATCTCATCAATAGTTGTCCAAAGCCGCTTTAGGATCATTAAGTTATTATTCAATTTATTTAGGTAATGTTTTCGTTTGGTTTGGCTTACAAGCTCTATAAATTTATTTTTATATTGGTTGTAGCAGTCGGTATTCTCTGTAGTTGGCGTTAGTTTCATTACATTATATAGTCTTTCTTTTTCTATTGCCGATGTTATTAATCCTTTGGTAATCCAGGCAATTCTGCTTTTCTCTTTGTGACTAATTATTACTTTATTTTTGATTTTGGAAAAAAAATCGATATTCTTTAAAAACTCGTGGGGTGTCTGAACATGGCGGACGATAAAATTGCAGATACCTCAATTTTGTTATGGTTAATTTGGATCATTATGTTTAAAATTTTGATTCCATCGGTAAAAGTGAATGTATCATGATTATATTGCGGTTTATTTCTTACAAAAACTATCCACCCCATCGTTTTGGTTATAAGTGCCAAAGTTATACAGCGTGTCATATCCCTGCTGATTGAAGCAAGAAATATCAGCCACTTGCCACGTTTTCAGTTAAAACTATTAGATCAAAATTGTACCATATTTGGTCGAGTAGTATTTTTAAGTAATCAATGTTGTGTTTTATACTCCTTATGTTCATATTCGAAATTTTGCATCAGAATTTTGTGTACATAAATTAAGTTCATCGACGTTTTGTGCTATATTTGTTGCAATACTTGGAATTTGGAAATCATTAACGTATTTATTTACTGACATTTTTAGGTCCTCTTTAGAGATAGGAGTAGTAAAAGATCAACTTGAATTTTAAAAAAGTATCCTTAAGTTTTGTTGTTCCTGATAATATTGTATGATGGACAGTTTTTGTCGGTAGGTGAGTGGTTAATATTATAATTTTTTTTTATCTCTTTCATTTCCATATCTACAGTTGCAGCATTCTATTGACACATGCTTACAATTTTCTTCTTCGTGACCGTTGCCACAGTTGGCACATATCTTCTCATTCCTGCAATTCTTTTCTGTATGATTAAAACGGTAGCATTTTCTACACTGAGAAATGTCGTTATTTTGATATACTGTCAAACATTGCCATCCCAGAAGTATTCTTCTATTATTGACTTCGAAGATTTTTTGAATAGCTTTCCAGAAGTTTCCGCGTAGATAGTGTAATTGTTTCTTGATGGAAAATATTTGATAAACTTTACTTGTATGTCTCCACTCTGAATCATGTAATTCTGATGTATAAGATCTTCTTCAATTTGCTTTTCATTCGGTTTCTCACTACTTTTATAATTTATTATTTTAAGTTTTGGATTTAACATTTTCGGCTCAGTAACTTGGTATTTTTCATTCAATTTATTTTGAAGTTCATCTTTCAGTTTATTATGGTTGATTCATCAATTTTTATATCAATTCCGCCATTTTTTGAGTTTCTCACACTTTCTATTTGAATGTTCAGAGATGAAAGATTTACTCTAAATAGGAATGTCCGGACTCCATGAACTTTAGACCGATGGTTTTCAAAGTAGTCAGCTTATTAACTGAGTATAGCATTACAGCGCTAACGAACTTATTGCGGTTTTGACCACCACAGGTGTCTGAAAATGTAGCTACGTGTTCAACAGTTTGAGGTAAACTTTGCAGATACTTATAAAGACAAGTTCCAATTTCCGAGCTCCCCTTGCTGCCGTGTGTTTCATCCCATACGTAACAAATACCATCCTTGTTCGAGCAATCATAGATTGTGAAGTTGTATACATTGAGGTGAGATTTATAATATACTTGACTATCACCTGCAAAGGGAATGGGCAAAATGGCTTGCAAATCAAAAGAGATTGCTCTGAACTCTCTTCCCTTGTTTTCAACTGCACGTTTTTTATCATTCTCTTTCATTTCTAGTGACTCCTTCTCTCGACGTTTATGGTTTTCGAAGTTGACACGTGAAGGTTCTTTGTTTTGCGATGCCTTGAAAACATTGCATACAGTACATTGGTCTTTTTTTGGCTTATAAAAAGAAAGCGGTGGGTCATGTTCATGAAATATACTTTGATACACGAACCTAGATACAGGACTCATATCATTTTCTTCGCAATATTCCTGATATAGGCGATACATTATGGAAATGTTTAGTTCTGGTGAGAGGTACTCTTTTTTTGAGTCTCGTCTACAATAGTGAGACTCGATTTTTGGAAAAGAATCGATGTGGCTCATTACTTGCTGCTTAATTGCAATGGGAGTTATGTTATGAGGCTTGGAGTCTATCCGTTTATCATGGCCGATAAAAAGCCAGTGCTGCTCATAGATTTATTTATTGTCTCTATTACTCGATGTGAAATAGCAAAAGTAGCACAAAAGAATTTTTGGCATACTCTATGCTTAACACCCTTTGTGTTTTTCAAATTGTATATTCTAGAAGTGGCACGGTTTTTAGTCAGTGGAGTGCATTTTTTTCTGCTTACTGGTACATTCTCCATTAAGAACTTAAATATATTTTCTGCCTAGTGTAGTCTGCTAATTGATAATACTCTTTACATAATATTTGACATTCATCCTGCGAAAGAAAGTTGCTGCATTATAGCGACATTTAGAACAGTCTACTATTTTTGGAAGTTTTACTGGTACTGTCTTACCAGCTCGATTTACATATTTTTCGCCACTTAATCTCAAAGTCTTCACAACAGACCTTTTCCAGAGTTGAGGGTCGGCTTTCTTTTTCGTTGCTTTTTAGAGGGTTGATATGTTACCTCGTCTGGTTCACTATCAGATTCACTAGCTTGATTGGAAGGAGTATAAGAGCTGTCAGATGGAATAAATGGTTCAGGGTCATTGTCGGTACTCATGGTGGTTGGTGAAGGACTACAGTTCATTATATTTTCTGAAATATACAGTAAAACATTAGTAACAAACGTGAGCAATATATTGTCAAGTAATACCTATTACTGGTACGTCCAACTGGGAATCTGTGAAAATAGCTTCTTCCGTATTTAGTCCACAGCAACGGTCCTGAATAACATCAGTTTCGGTAGTTGGGGGTACGGCGATTGCAGCAGTCCTCAAAATCAGCTCATCTATAAGTAAAATATACTGAACTATCTTAAAAATCTGATTCATTCAGTATTATCTATCCATACCCTGTATAATTTCAAATTCCGTATTATTTCCTCCACTACGTGATTAAAAAACAGCGTCGATTGGTACAGATGGAAGCACTTCTACTTCAGAATACCTCAAAACCTCCCTATCTGCAAGCAAATGAACGTTTCAAAAAAAAGGTCTACCTGTTTCATGTTATACGTACCCTGTATACTTTTTGTACAGACTTGCTCCTTCAGAGCCAGTTGTAGAATTAGTGCAGATCGAGACGCCATGGCCTTTTCGCAGCATACACTTGTATCACGCACACACTAGTATCACGACCAGACCAGCTAAAACTCTAACCTCAAACTTCAGCCTACGAGAAATGTGTGAATCACAGATGTGGCAATTACCTTTAACACCATCTTGTGGATGTAGGTTACTAAGTACAAATGTGTTAAGTACATTTAAGACGTATGCGATAGAAATCTACATTTCAAAGTTATTTATACCTACTGGCAGGTGGCGCTAGAAGCATCATAAATATATTAATCAACTACCACACTTGTGCATGCGATGCTTCGTCCCTTGAGTAATATGCTGCTGTAGATAAGTCAATTTCAATGAAAAATCACTTACAACATTTGTGCACTACACCATCGATATATATACAATACTACAACTGTAAGTCAAACGAAAACCTTTCGCCTCGTCACTGTTTAGATCTATAGGTTCGCATGTCTGATAAGCTTTATGAAGTTTTTTAGCAATGTTGAGCAATTCATTAACAAACCAATTTTGACAATCAGCACCCGTATGCAATCTAAATTTGGAAGGATATTTTCGTAATTCGATTTAAGATAGTAAGCTACACTGAAAGCCACATGCTTTTTAAACTTTTGTGTGTTATTTGTTCCATTGTCATCATTCGTATAATTCATTAGTATGCTTTCAATATCTGCATAAATGGCAAAAGGAACACATAATTTATTCCTAAAGTTTTTAAATTTCATAATATTATTAGTTTCATTAGGCATAACGACCTTAGTGCTGTTAAGCTGCTTACAATTTTCAGAATGTTTTCTCAAATGATGTTCACTTGAAAAATGATTTAGACGCCTTTCACAAATCCATTTTTGTGATCTTTCCAACCTATTTGTCTACTTATTAGGCGTGACAAATTTTTTATATACGCAAAATGATAAATAGTGTTAGCATTCGAATTGCAACTATCATTATTGCAAAACATAAGTAAATTGATTCTAGGCGTGAAATTAGTTTTACTGGGTATCAACGGTACAACTTCATTCATTCGATTGCCTACGAGTGTGAACACATTTATTCCTAGGTAATTCATAATCTCAAACTTGGGTATATCTTTCAAACGTATAGGAAAGCTGATATTTTCGTATTTCAATACTGTACTGAAATGAGGATATGATAATTGGCGGGCTACATTTTTTCTACACGATACAAGGCGCTTACAACTGACTACAAAAGACAATAATTATCATTATTTTTAATATTAATTACACTTTTCGACATTTGTATAAATTTTGGTGGGGGAAAATAAGTTGAAAGACCAACATTTATGGGGAAATATCTATTAATATTCACTTTTAAATGCAAAATTTCTAATAAGGCCCATCCAGAATCACGCTCTTGGAACTCTTCTAATTTTCTCAAAACTTGATCAGTGACATGAACTTTATACCACTCTTTTAAATTGGTATTTCTATCAATTATATGACTTTTTGTAACAAAATGTTTGATCGATCTTTCAGCAGTCTGAGGCTTAATGAACAAACTATAAAAAATAACGTTCGATTTTAACATACAAATATCAAGCTGTTTTCTTATTTGTAACGCAAAACTTTTGAATGCTCTCTTGAAAAATAATTTTGAATCTTTTATTTTCAAATTAACTATAACACCTGACTTAATTCTATTCTTAAAGCATGAATCCACATTTGCCCAAACAAGCTCTCTATTTTGGCTTTACGATTTATTTTATATTTGAAGTTTTCAAGGTAAGCCTTGAGAAGTGACAAATTAGACTCTATTTTTGAAAAATTCTTAACACAATCAAACTTATGTTTGATACACTTATTAAGCGCTCTAATACATTTTTGTATCTCTTTAATATAAAAATCGTAATCTGCTTTTGTCCTAACTAATCTACTTACCACCTCTATTCTCCTAACGAATTCGTCAGACACAGTATCGATCACCTTTTGGCTGCTACTCATTTGGATATGTGTAGATATGCAGCGACTGTGTGTGTGTGTGTGTGTGTGCGTGCGTGCGAGCATGCGTGCGTGCGTGTGTGTGTGTGAATAGATCTTGTTTGAACAAATCTAAAGCATTTCGAATAAGTCAAACAAATCACTTACCTTGGTAGTGTATGGTACAGTTCTATTAATCTTTTTTTTCTTCTTCAGATACGGTGTCAGGGAGATGAAAGCGAGCGGTGACAAAATCTTCGTAAAATTAACTTACTCACCAAGAGCAGCAACATTAAAATGAAAATTCGGCTTGCTGCCAATCAAATATTTGAGGACCAAATTGGATAAGAACGCGGAATTCCAGGTAATGGAAAGAATCGTCAAAAAATATCGGTTCAATTTGTGGGACGAACAGTTGGAAGACATCAATCGACAGTCTATACAAGATCGACCTGTAACGAGTGGTCTTGGTGGTCTTGGTGGCAGTGGTGGTGGTGGTGGTGGTAAGAAGAGAAAGCTGTATCTGGAACCACCAGTGCTACAAAATGTGGTCGATGATGATGATGATGATGAGCAGGAGGAGGAGGAGGAGGAAGAGGAGAAGGAGCCTACGCAAAAGGTTAGGAAACCACCACCACCAGTATCTACAGCAGTCACGGGCAATGATAACGATGACAATGATGATGATGACACATTGTTATTGTCACAAACATATTTTAAAATAAAAAAGTGATTTCTCCAAAAGTAATGTTTTATTTACACACTCTCTCTTTACATGTTATCAATACAAGATCAACATCTTTATCAAAAAACTTTTACAGTACTATTTAATGGATTATATTTTACAAGACGATCATGTAATATCAAACAAAAGGCAGTAGTATTTGGTGGTATATTTACGGTAGTTTCAAATTCCAATCTAATATCAACAGAACCCAATTTTAATGTCTCATTTTGCCTGCTGCAGTCAATAACAAAAAGTGGGGTTGCATCAATGAAAGTTTTCAAGTTTTGACATGGCTCACTGGAATTTCTATAATAATAGGACTGCTGAAAGTGCACATACATTTCATACAAGATACTAAAATAATTTCTGCTCATATTGAAAGTTACATTGTCATATGGATAAATTTCAGAATTCAAAAATAATTTGATATTGCTCAGGTTACAGTGATCAAAGTGACTCAAGTTCTTAGTCAGCTGTCCTTTCCGATCAGTTTGAAAAGCAACAATAACGAAACGTGGCCTTTCCAATTGATTAGTCGCCTTGACGTTCCATGTATGTTTATTTGTCTGTTGTAAAATGGGGTACTCATGCAACTCCCAACTCCTGAACGCTAGTTGTAAGTCCCTTCCTTTCTCTATGTACTTCATGAGGTGTAGTTTTTCAGTATCAGCTACTTGGATGTGTGGAATTCACCATAGTATTCTGTACAGACCTAAATGAGGTTTCTCGCCAGGTGTTGTCGTTACAGTTGCATTAACATCTGTGGAGCTTCTTATATGGACCAATTCCTGTCTGATGTTGATTAGTACTTTTTTAAAGTCTTCAAAAAACCCCATTAAATTTTTCAGTGGAATAGTTACACTGAAATAACCTTCACTGTTTCATATTTCGGGTAATTCTTGATGATTCCAGCCTGCATGTTGGTAACTATTACCTTCATTGTTTGTGAAAGATACCAGTACTTTAATGGTGGTTGTTATACCAGGGTTACGAACTCTATCAACAACTATACCTCCAATTTCATATCACAATTCATCAAATCAAATGATACAAAATTGTTTACGAGGCGTAATGTTGGTGACCATTTCTTCTCCTTTGCCTCTACTAATCTTCCTTCAATATACAGTGAGCTATTACAAGGTAGTATATCTTGTATCTTGTGTTTGTATTGGTATTCTTATTTCATCTGAATTATTGAAAGTTGTATTAGCGTATGGTGGATGGCTATGCATTTCACAATTGGTAATAGAATTATCGATTCAAATATTTTCTCCTATGTTGAGAATAATTAAGGTCAACTTTTTTGTTTGTTTTATCAAACAGCTACACTTGAGATTAACAAATAACTTTTGTAGTTCAGAGTAGAGTGATAATTTTATGCGTAGTATCAATCCAGCAGTGCAGGTATTGCTACTACTGCTGCTGCAGCTGCTGCTATTACTATCACTATTAACCGTTTGTTCTTGATATGCGTCCGCCACACTTATGCAATCACCTTAAAGCCAAGCAACTGTAGAAATTGTATATTTTCGGATGTTAATCCCTTGCTTCCTTGTTTACTACTAACTGTTTTACCAACATGTATTTGTTTATTAATAGTTTTTGTTGATCTATTTTGACCTTTATCCTTGTTGTTGTTGTTGTTGTTGTTGTTCTCGCTGTTAGCTGAGCTCAACGGTACTACAATATTATAAAGGCATACCATGCTAAAGTTCTCTTAAATGTACTCTTATCGTTATCACTTCTCCTTTAAAATTAACCAAATTTCCGTCTTGATCCACTACTTTAAGCACTATTTCATCAATGTAATGTCTATTTATTGGTAGATACTTGATACTTTTTCTATTATGCGAAATCCACTAGCCACGTTAGGGTAGAACATATGCAACGTGTGAACAGTATGATCATTTCTGAAAGAATTCGTTATCAGATTACATTCCACACATATAGAGTTCACTTTGGAAACATTTACAGGAAAATCTGAGATGTGTAGTTTATGTGGACTCAATTTTCTCTTACTAAACCCTAATAACCCACCTATTGTACCAGTTTGCTCAAAATCGATGAGTCGGTTACTTTAATTTCAAACCGTAACGTATTTAAATTATTTCGCGTATAAAGTTGTATGTCAGGCTGTTTATCCTCTTTTAAAATTGCATTTGAACTTAGAGATCGTTTTTGTTTTTGTTGTGGTTGTTGTTGTGGGGACATTCTCCTTTTTTTATTTTGTTCACCTACTCGTGGTTTGATTCTCTCTTTAATAAATTCTATAATGTCTGTAATTTCATAACTACCTTCAGGTATTGTTAAAACCTCATCATCAATATGAAACTTATTATTTGTTATATCTATGTTGGGTATTGTGTTGAAAGTTAAAAAATCAATAAGTCCCAAAGCGTACGTTTTCCTATTATCCAGCACGATAGGTGGATAGATTTTAGCTGATAACACAGACTCTCTACCAGATAAGGTAAATGTATACATGATATGAACCGATCAATGGTCATAGATGAAATAAACAAGTGTTATTATGGTAACCAGCATTTATTCACTTTTGAGAAAACGTAAACACAATTGACCACAATTTACAGTATTAAATCTTTGAAATACATTACAATTGTACTGTATTCTACAGGGTCCACTACAATTAAAATATACAATTGCTTCCAATGGTGGTTCTAAGTTTTCATATGTATCTAGGTAAACCACCAAGTTGCCTTTCTTCTTATATGCAGTCTAGTGAGTACCTGGTCCAGTAGATGTATCCAAATTAATGATTCCTCTTTCATTGATTTTTATTTTTTTGGGAAGCTTATCTCGCATAAATACTCCTCGAAAATACGGTATTTTTAAACGCTTTGCATACTTTTCCAGTTCAAAGTTTGTTAACGGGTGACTATTTGGAATTGAATTTTTTTTAACTACTTGTTTTTTCTTTTTCATTTTCCTTTATCTCACAACTGGTTTCAGTTAGTGTATGGTTTCAGGAAAAGACCCATTCCCATTTTATAGGGTCTCAAAAACATTCCCTTTCCAAGTGCTACAGCTTCCATCATTTTATTATGCCGTTGAGATTCTTGTAATTGCTGCTTTTCAGAGTTTGCATCACTGACAGCCTTAGCAATACCAGCAGCACCACCAGACAAAGCTCCAAGGGCTGATAAGCCAGCAAAAATTGGGATTAGTGGTAATACACCTCCTTTTTTCGGTATCTTCACTATACGATTTGGCGGCTTTCTTACACCTTTCTTCAAATTTTGTGCCTCCCTCAGTGCTACAAGTATTGCTTCTCCAAAGGTAGTAGGTTTTTGAGCTACCACATGCTTCCCTATTCGTTTAATTGCACTAGAAAAGCTAACCTTCCTTTTCGTACTTGATTTACTTTGATTTTTTTTCTGTCGCTGTGATCGTTGTTGTTGTTGGTCAATTGTAGCTCTTTTCTTAGGTTTAACATTCTCCTTATGTGCCATTTTCATTACTGAGTTTAAATGTCTGGATTACTAGGTACTTATAACTTCCACTTTCTTAGGTATGTTATCATCATCATCTGGTTGTATCTTCCGTTTTCGGTTATGTTGGTTCCATCGAGACGGAATTACGTCACTCATATCTAATTTACGTTATTTGTTTTCCTTTACTTCATCAGATTCCCTTTTACGTTTTGTACTGCATTTTTTCTCGGGAATTATAACCGGATCATCCAAATCTATTTTTCTTTTTTTCACTTGTTAAGCATTCAATGAAGTAGTAGTAGTAGTGACTGAATCCAGTTTTCTCTTTTTTGGTTTGTTCTTTTGCTCTTCTGTTATATAAGTGTCCATGAATTCAATTGTAGCTTTTGGTTTTTTTCTTCCCTTGATTTTTTCTTTTGTGTCCTCTAAATCAGACTTTGGTTTTCGTCCACGCTTAACTTTCGATGTTTCATGTTTTATGTCAGAGTTTTTTTTGCTTTCGCGTTTCTTGATTTCTCTTACTTTTTGTAATTTTCTCTCACTAGATATATTTTTTTCCTTATCTTTCAGGTGTATATCTTTTTGGCATGACTGTTGAGTTTGTAGAATTTGTACAGTCTTGAACAAGGTTTTGAGACCCCTGTAATTCCTTCGCTAATTTATGTAATTTCTTCAAACAATTGTTTATATTACGTTTTTTGTGCCTTTCATAGGTTTCTTTTAAACCCATTCCAAGTTTTATGCGTCAGCCTTCTCTTTCCAAGACGAATCACTTGCACGAAACCTATTCATTGCCTGTTTTGCTAGCACCTTATCAGCCAAGTGACGATTACTCAGACCTTTTT